CCCATCTCCTGTTGGGCTTGGACCCAGCAGAACTACTGGAAAATCTCAACTCTTCAAGGTGGAGTCACCCAAGCACCCCCCACCCCAACCCTCATCGCTGCATCCACCACCAAACCTCATCCCTCCTCCAAAAAAATGGAAAAAAGGCTGAAAAAAGGCTAAAAAAAAGCAACCATGCTTTGATTCTAGGTAAAGGATTAATGTGGGAGACACCTGGGGGTCCATCCCATGTCCTGCTCAGGCTGTAGGACCAGCACTGCAGACACCATGTTCCTGAATTAGAGGAAGAAGATTCACACAGGTGATACCAAAGCCACACTGCAAACTGCCAGACAACCCAGCAGCAGCAAGAAGAGCCCAGGGATGTATTTTGGGGGAATATTTCTTTTTTGGTAGCTGCCACTTGATGCGGTGTCACCACCCACTCCCTCCACTGTCACGCTCTCCTCCCACGGAACCACAAGTACATTTTCACACCAGTTTTGGGGTCCAGCCACTGCAGTGTCCCCTCACCACTGTGTCACCCATAGCAGGGATCTTTAGTTCAAGCACGCGCAGGGTATAACCACACTGTGTCCAGGGGGAAATTCAGGGAAAAAAAAGCACCAGCAGCTTTCACCCCCTCTCCCACAGAGAGACACAACCAAATTCACCCTCCTGGCTGCCCAAAACCACAGCGCATGTGACCCAGAGAGGCTTTTCAGAAGAGCCGAGTCTCCAGCGGCTTCTGTTTGCCTTTCCCTTGTTTGCAGCAGCGTCGCATCTGGAGGCTCATCAGAAGAGGATGAAAAAAAACACCCCCTCCCTCCTCCTGCTGAACAACCTCTCGATCAAAACAAAGCCGAAGCGGCAGCCAAGAGCCGGGAGGCTCTTTTGTTTAATGCTCAACATCCCCTGGCCGGCCCAGCGTGCCCAGGAGCGGGTGCAGGGGCCACGGTGCAGGCAGCAAGGTGGGTGCAGAGCTGGCGACCGAGCGCCCACCGCTGCGGCCACCGGGCCCTGGGGCCAGCTCGGCCCTGCCACGGCAGCTGGTGGGGCAGGGACAGCACAGTGGGCGCTGCTCCTCCGTGCACGGCCATTTTGCTGAGTGTGGCTGCTCGTCGAGAGCTGCTGTACCCTCCAAAACACCACTGTCCCCCCAAACCAAACCCCCATCATCAATGACCCAGGGACTGATCCAGCCTCTGGTCCCCACACTCTGGTCATGGATCTATCAGCACAAGCTCTTTTCTCTCCCTGCTGCAAGAAGTATTAAGCTCCCATTGCTGGCCCCCCAAATATCTTTTGGGGCTCCAAGGAGCTGCCCAGGCACCAACCACAGCCTGAGGCATATCTGGGTGAGGTGCTCAGCCCATCCCAGAGATCCTGGAAGGTCTCAGCAGGGTTACTGCCAGTAGTTTTCATCACGATCAGCCCCATCCCTGGAGAAGTTATCACTTGTGTCCCAACACACTGATGGTATTGGGTTCGAGGAGAGCACGTAACAGACCTGGACAAGGCCAAAATCTGTATCAAGAAAAGGGGCGTTTGGGATATTCAGTTCCTGAGGCTTCACTCTGGGAAGCAGCGACCAGAGGAGCCATGGGGGTCACACTGGCAAAACAAATTCCATGAAGCCCATGGGTCACATCCACAGGTTTCATCACTGTGATGTCAGACATGGGAGTAAGGGTGACCTCATCTGTGGACATGGCACCACAGAGCACTGGCTGACACGGAAAGGATGTCTGAAGGAACCCACAACAAAGATCCTTCCTACACCCAGCAAAGACTTGAGGGCTGCCAAACTCTACAGTGAGATACAAGAAGGGCACAAAAGCAGAAGCAGAGGCAAGCAGGGTGAGCTGGCTGGGGCATGAACTGGCTAGGGGCACCAAAGCACCTCATCAAGGAAAAATACTCCCTGCTAAGGTGCTTGCTAATCCAGCCACGGAGATACAACAAAACCTCCTGGCTGAAGATGCCAGCTCAGCATGCACCTACAGATGGAGAGGTTGCCTACCCTGGGCTGAAGTTGGTGGAGGGACAGACAGTCTCTTCCTTCATCCACAGACGGAGACCAACTTCCCTGTCCGGAACGGAAGAGGGAGCAGCACAGGGTTAAGCAGAGGACAAGCTCATGGAGATCAAAGGTTGGGCTGAGTCATGTTGTGGCCATTCCTGTTTCATTCTGAGCAAGTTTCTCACTTCCCAGGCAGGGTTTGTTGCCAGGCCAAAATGAACCTGCCCCCTTCATCTCCTCAGTGCACTGCCTGGAGGAGCGTCCCTCCCACAGCCAGCATGTACCTCTGCTCTTCACTTCTCCTTTGGACTCCACATGCAGTTTTTGGGGCACCTCCACAGTTTTCAGGAGACAGGATGAGCCCAATGCCATATCCCCAATCACCACATCCCCCATTGCACCCCCTCTGTCCTCCACCCTGCCTCAGGTATCTGCCCAGCCTCAGGCTCTTCCTCAAGTCTTCCCACCCCTCGCCATGCAGACGCCTTTCTTCTCCTTGCCCAGGGCTTTCCCGACCCAAAGCAAGCCATCCAGCACCCAGGAGACTGACAAAACACAGTCAATGATTCCTCCTAAGACCAAACACAACACGTGTTCCTGCAGATCCAGACATTAAATCCCTTCTCAAAACAGGGATCAGCCCTCCAAACTCAGCATTCACTGAGGTGGTTGTGCCTGAATCTAAACAAGTAAAATGGCAGAACCTTCCTCACAGGGCATCAGCATGGAGATGATGGAACAGTCTTCCCTCTGGTAGTGGGAAGCCATTCCCCCTTCCCCTGTCCCTCCAGGTCCTTGTCCCAAGTCCCTCTCCAGCTCTCTTGGAGCCCCTTTAGACACTGGATGGGGCTCTCAGGTCTCCCTGGAGCTTCTCTTCTCCAGTTGAAGACCCTCAACTCTCCCAGCCTGGCTCCAGAGCAGAGGGGCTTCAGCTCTCGGAGCAGCTCTGTGGCCTTCTCTGGACTCTCTCCAGCAGCTCCACATCCCTCTTATGCTGGTGCCCCAGAGCTGGAGGCAGCTCTGCAGGTGGGGTCTCACCTCAGCAGGGCACAGGGGCAGAATCCCTCCTCCCCTGCTGCCCACGCTGTGGGACCAGCCCAGCAGACAGGGAGCTTCTGGGTGCCGGCACACACAGCTGGGGCATGTCCAGCTCTTCCTCCACCAACATCCCACCTCCGTTTTGCCCCTCCGGCTGCAGATGATTTCTGCAGCTGCATCAGTGAAAGAAATAAATCTTTGATAGTAACAGCACAGCAAAGTCACACAGGGTACGACCCAAGGTCCAGCCAGCTACAGTGCCGGCTGTGACAGTGGTCAGCACAGATGGTTGTGTAAACATAAGAGCCAAGCACATTGAGATATTTCCCAAACCACTTCCCAAGCTCCTGTCCTCCTCGTACGTTTCCCAAGCCAAAAGACATTGTCTTGTACAAATCCTGATGGGTTTCTCATCCACAAACCCACCAAGTGCCCCAGAGCACTGGTGGACTTTCAGCATCCATAGTTTTTAGCAGCAACATTCCAGTCCATCAGGTAGAAGAGCATCTGCTGCTCTCTCTGGTTTTCATTCACTCTGGTTCCATTGCCAGAACGGACAAGGGAACAACACATCATCTCCACATCACTCCTGAATTTTACAGGCTTCAGTCACCTGCCCTAGGGTCTTTCTCTCAAGCCATTTAGCAGCCCTTGTCCCAGAGCCATCCCATGGCCAACCATGCCCACCACCCTTCTCTCCATACATGCTCCCCAACAAAACCCTGGCCTCAGAACCTCTCCCAACTCCACTGTGCCCTCCCCACCCATCCGGGTGCCCACACTGTGATCCCCACACTAAAGCAGAAATCCTCCTGGGAGCCACCAGCTGTAGACATGGTGATGTGCACCCCCAATACTGCCCAGCCACTCTCCCAACCCCAGCAAGTGTTAATGGCCATAGAGCCAAGCCACTCCAAATACACACGCTTATGATGCTCACCCCGTGTGCAGCAAACATGTGGCTTCAAAGGCAAACAGCGGTGACACCCATGTGCAGCTGGCATGGAGGAGAACGCAAACCTCCACATGCTCAAAGTCCTCCCCATTTACCCACAGAACTCCCATCAGCCACTGTGATTACTGAGAAACAAGAAGAGTCCCAAAATGGCCATGTCCAGCTATACAGCCACCCAGAGCTCAGCGCCACCCAGACAGACAGCCACTCACCCTGTAGGCCATGGGCCACTGGTGGGGTTTTTCATGCCCCTGGTGACCTGGAAGAGCAGCTTGGCCAGCTCTGCATCACTGGTGCATGTCAGCAGAGGAGCTACACGACAAACATCACCCACAGCCCCAGCTGGCCCAGGTCAGATCGTCACCACCTGTGGGACATACCATCGGCAGCTCCAGGAACGAGGCGGTGACTCCTGTCAGCCCTGCTCCTTGTGCTCACCCACAAGCCCATGCAGATACCACACTCACAGACACATTGAGGGATCCTTCTCAGCACATGATGCAACCAGAGAGAAATAAATTCCTCCGGGGGTTGCGGGGAGCCTTGGCCCTCACGGGGAAGCCAGTGGGACGCAGAGCACAGCGGCCCACTGACGCCGTGTGTCCCGTTGGGAGCTGGAGTAGGCACAGTGCCAGGACATCACCTTGACTGCAGAGTGACAGAGGCCAGAGAGGTCTGGACCCATTGGCACAGCCACAGCACCAAAGAAACCAAATCCCAGAGGGTACAGCAGGATAGTACCTGGAGCACAGTGGCTGCAGGTGATTTGCTGACACATGGTTCCCAGTAGCCAGGCATAGCTTGACCAGTGCTATTCCATTGCCACGTCCAGACACTGGCACATCACATGGCCAAACCACCTTCACGCCAGAACCAAGAGGCACCAGCCATCACCAGTGTTGCTCCCAGCAGTACAAGGCACACGGTCCCGTTCCCTTGCCAACCACAGCAGGACATCCTGGCACAGGAGTAGTAACATCACCCACGCCCCGACACCTTTCTTACCTTCTCCGACTTCACCTTCTTCAGTTGCCGACACTCACTTTCCCCATCCTCCAGCTCCGACTTAACTCCCAAGGGATTGAGCGCAGCTCCCGTGTCAATAGCTATACTCCCAAGCTGCTCGGCAGCAGCAGGCTCTGTCCCCTGGCCTCCATCATACTGTCCCACCCTCACTGCCAGGGCCAGGGGCTGCAGCACGCTGGACTCCTTCTCCACCGCAGCCCCCGCACCTTCACTCCTTTCCTTCTTGCTTTTAGATGAGCCGCCCTCCTTCTCTTTCTTGGAGCCAGCCACGCTGCGAGACGCCTTGGCCGACTTCTCTGAGCCCTTTGGGGTGACGGCAGGCACCAAACCACCTGAGTTCGCGCCATCCCCAGAGCGTCCTTGAGCCTCCTTCTTGCCACCAGCTCCCTCACTGGGAGTGAACAGGGAGGACCCTGGGGTCGGCTTCCCACTGTCCTTGCCAGTCTTGCTCCTTTTTGACTTGGATTTGCCCTCCTTGCCCTGAGGGCCCGGCACTGGGCTCACAAACTTGATGTTATCCGGTAGCGTTGCCACTGCGTTGGGTGCCGGGAGCCCCACCTCCTTGGAGCCCGACATTTCCAGTTTCTGCTGATCCTTCTCCAAATCAGCGTCCAGGTCAATGATGAGATTCCCTACACCAATGTCCCACTCATCCCCGCTGTCGTACGTCTCAACCGGGTTCGCATCAATTCCTTTCCCTCCGGAAGCTCCGCTGCTCAAGGACATCTTAGAGTTAACAACCCCTCACGATTCAAGGCTATTCCCTGTCTCCACGCCCTGGGGGTCACCTACGTCCTTGGGGGCTTCCAGTGGTTGGGGTCTGCCCAGGTGACGGCATTGCTGCTGGAAGGGAAAGCAAAGAGAACAAGGTTACACATGAAGAGTCGAAGGCAGGCAGATCTGCCTTCACTGGCAGCTGCACCTGCAGCCAGGAGAGATCTGGGCAGGGTGAAAGCCCCAGCCTCCCAAATCCCCCCTCATAGAATCCTCCTGCCACCCCTCAGGCTGGGGCTGCTCGGCAGCTGCCCCCACAGCAGCGGCCATCTGGCACCAGTCCTCGATCAATACCGGCCCTGGCAGGTCACAGCTCTCGGCTCCAACAAGACATTACTCACACGTTTCCCCGCTCGCCATTTCCCTCTGAATTATCGAGCGCTGCCCCTGGGAGGGAGGATTGATTTCTCCTGCCGATGCCACCCGGAGGGAGGGCTCCTCTCCGCACCAGCCTTGCTGTGAGGGACGAGAGCCGCTTGCCAGGGAAGTCGAGTGCCTCAGTGGGAATAAATCCCAGGCTTCAGAGTACTTGTGACACTTGGGACGTGTCAGAGCGGTCTCCAAAGGCTAAATAGCAGTGGGAAGCACAGGGTTCCCATCCCACACCTCCAGGCAGCACAACACAGCACCCGGATTTGGGATATTTACCACCATCACCTCCACAATAAGCTTCCAATGGGAAACCAAGACGCAACTGTACAAATGTGCAGTGTTAACTGGGAAGTGGGGGCTCAGCCCTACCTGCCCAAGCCACAGCTGACCCCAGTGAGCCCAAAATATCTCCTCCCAGCTTCCCAGCCCCTCACCCTGGGAGGGAAACAAAAAAGACACCCACACGCAGCCTGACACAGCGACAGAGCCTGACCAGACATAATTAATACATGTAACAGCTTCTTCCCGGCACCATCCAGCCAGGCCACCGGCCCTACAGAACCCTTAAGAAATCCTTGACCACCCATTTGGATGAGGTTCCTCTCCAGCAGCAATGTACCTCCCCTTCCCCGCCAAGCTCTGAGCCTGCTGGCTCCCGGTACTATTTACGAGTGACACTTCAAAAACAGGTGACTTGAAGAGAAATAAGAAGGGAAGGGAAAAAAATACACACACACACAAATTTCTTCAAACCCCAGCAGGCAGGAGCCTGGAAAGCAGCTTCACGGTGCATTTCATGAGATGCAAACACTGTAAAAATGCCAGGGATTCTTTCATCAGCCAGGCTGCCGCAGCCAGACCATTTTCCATCTGCTCCCCACAGCATCCTCAGCTCTGTACAGCTAATAATCCGCTCTCTGACAGGTCATTACGGAGATTTTTAACCCTAGGAGCTGGGGGTTTGCGTGCAAGCTGGAAATGAAAAGCACTGACCTCTCATTTTAGCGGCAGGGAAAGTGCCGAATCAGGAGATCACTTTGTGCACTGGAGTCACTAACGGCTTCCCAAAGCTGCCCTGCGTGTTTCTGCCACTGTCTCCTCCTCCTCTTCCTGCCCCAGGAGCTGCTCCCCAGTCCCAAGCCAGGGTGTCCAGCCCAACCCCATCAACCTGTCTCTTCAGAGCCTCTCTCCAAACCACCAATGGGGTCAGCAATTGGCAGCGACTACCTCACCTCTGCATGGTACAGCCAGCTCTTTGTGCCATGGATCTACAACAGTCCCTTTGTGTGGATGGGTAAAGATAGTAACCAGATTTTTGGCTTGTAACAGCCCCTTCCCAGCCCTAAGTTGAGGCACAGAATCCAAGAACAACCCCAATGGACAGGTGGACACAGCATTGATATGCAGGACCAACATACGGGAGCTGCTGGGAGAGGATGAGGCTCAACCTCCAAATCCAAGTGTTGCCAACCCAAGGTTGGAGCACGCAAAGGGCCACGGCCAGCTCAGATCAGAAGGATAAAGGGACAAGGATCTGACCTCGCAGTGGCAGAAAAGCAGTGGACAATCTGCAGGGTCGTACGATGACAGGCACAGCACCTACCACTCCATGCAACAGCTCCACAAGGCCGGCTCGGTTGGCTCTCTGCTCCCACCAGGGAATTCACCTTGCTGTTCCAAACGTGCAGATACACACGCACACACATCTCCATAAATATTATTTATACATGTGAAATAAGGAGAGCAGATGAGCGGGACTTGGGTCTGAAACTCTGCAAGCAGCAGCAGTTTTTGCCAATTCCTACCACAACAAAAGGAAGAAGGAGCCCAGAAGTCCGCTGAGTCCTTGGCAATTTAGAGAGCTAGGAACAATCAAAGGGTTAGAAAACAAGAGGAGCAAAACCCCTCACCCTACAGAGGAGGCGCCGAGGGAGCCTGCTCTGCTAATGCAGAGGGAAGGGAATCACAAACAGGACTGGTAGGAACATGCTGGATTGGCAAGAGACGGGGGAAGGCTCTTAACCCTGAGAGCAGGGCAGGGAGCTCATGACGTGCCACCACGGGAAGAGGGACTGGAGCAGAGATCAACCCTTCCAGCCCCAGGCTGTAGGTTGGGACTCCGTTTACATGATGTGGGGGGACTCCTGAACATCCTCCACTGCACGTGGCTCTAAAAAATTCTCCACAGTTCTAAAACCCCCTTCCTGAAACTTCCAATTCCCCATTTCTCTTCTCCACTCTTGCAGGTTCTACCTTGCAGCTGAAGGAGCGTTTTGGGTCCCTCTCCCAAGCCAGACCACCAGGGATTCCCAATCTGCCCTGTCATTTTTATTTTGGTAGATGGGGAACCCTGGCTCCCACAGCCCCTGTCCCAGAGAAAGAGGTGCCTTTCCCCCTGCCTGCTTTGCCCAAGCTGGAGAAGTGCCGGGTTCTATCCAGATCCTCCCTGCTCTCCTGCTGAGGGGTGTAACGCCACCACAAATCATGGCATCTTGGAAAACAGAGCGAGGAGACTGATTCAGCTGTAAATGTGTCCTTCCCCTTACCTCCTGCCATCACAGGATTGATCCCCGCGCAACATGAAAAGCATGTGCTCACTTGTTGGCCTGGAGACCTGCCAATGAAGCATTTTAAGAGCAGTCCTGGAGCGCAGATCCTACAAGGAGACAGCTTTCTGCTTGGGAATGCTGCACACACAGAGCACCAGACATGAATAATTCAGCTCCATTAGGTGCTGAGACCTCTACAATCCACATCTACAGGCTGGGACAGAGCCAAAACGTATTCAGAGACAAACCTGAAAGTTCACTTTCAGGGCTGCACACACACCTAGAGACAGCTCCTCCACCAGAACACTCGCATTCCAAAAGGCAGTGAGGAAACCGCATGAGCCCCCAGCTCTTTGTGCTAAAACCAGTGCAGGATGCTCAGAACCTGCCAAGCCCACACCACTCCAGCTTTCTCCGCCGGTTACCGGAGGCCAAGAGACCAAAGTGGGGAAGCACTGACAGCCCAAGGGCAGTAAGATGCAGGAGAAAGCTCTTCTGGCAGCAGCCAGCCTACACGTAGAGAGACTGTCTCATAACCATGTGCTCCAGCCTGCAGCGCTCCAGGATCAGCCTCTGGTGGCTTCCAGACATGACCGACTGCAATTTTCACCCTGATTAACTTTCAGGAATGCCCGCAAGAAGGAGCAGCAAAGAGGACAGGGAAGTGGGGGGAGAAAATCTGTAGGATGCGGCATTTCCTCCAGCGGGGTACGAGGCAGGGAGCAAAGGGTTTGGCAAGATGCTCTCTCCAGTCAGGAGCAACCCTGGAGAGCAGACAGAGCCCTCCGCTCCCTCCTGGGTGAGGCAAAGGCAGTGGCATGGAAGGGCTGCTGCCCCTGCCTGGCTTGCTAAGACCCCCAAAGGGCTCCCCAGGAGCCCCCAGCCAAGGCAGCAGCACGAGGGGACACAATGCAAGGCCCTTCCTCCCATGGTTGGCAGTCAGCCGGCCACTCTCCCCATCCGCTGCCTCCGCACAAGATCCCTTTTTGCTTCCTTGTACGACTAAAAAAACTTGGAGGGGTGGGGGGGGGGCAACACGCTCCCTTCTCCGAGCTGCCGCACTCACTCCCTGCTCGGCTCCCACTGCTGCGCCTGTAATCCCCCAGCTGGGCTTGTTTGGGTTGGATTTCTGTTAAGTAACTCCCATGTCTTTTCTGCAGATTTCTTTTTAAGATGCTCCCTCTCTCCCCGCCCCCTCTCTCTAGAGCTGGGGGAGAGGAAAGAGAAAAAAAAAGGAGAGAGAGGAAAAAGGAGAAATGTTGAACGCGAGCCAGCTGGCACGAACAAGAGGAGACGGAGAAATCTGCACAAAGGAGCTTCCTCACTCACTTGCTGCTTTCAGCTCAAGAAATCACGCAGGGGAGGAGGGTTTGCTCTCCCCCAGACATCACTCAGGTCGTAGCAGACAAAGGAGATTTGCCATGACACCTTCCAGAACTGCCACCCAACGTGGGCAGGATCCCTCCACCGCCTGCACCCGGTAGGAGTCCGAGCTGTTGCAAAACACGCTGAAGCACAAGGCTTCAAAACAAGCTGTTCAATGTGGAATTAAGCAAGATTTTGAATGGAGGAGCTGCGCTCCCGCCTCTGCGCTCACACAAGGCGCCGGGAGAACTTCGGTGGCTCTCGGGGCTGAGTGGGACGGTTCCGTCAAGCTGCCAGAAGGGAGAAGGCTGAACCCAATTTGAATAAAATGGAGCCATCCTTCTTTTTTTAATATGGAGGTGCACCCTGCCAAGACTACATCTTCCAGCATGCACTGCAGCCAGAGCACCGGGAGACACACTGCCAAACTTAGGCCGGGACTCCAAGTTTCTGTAGGCTGAGCCTTGACACCGGAGATGAACCTGACACAGGGCAGCGCTCAAGTGATGAGTCATTTGTTGGCATTCTTGAGAAAAGCCTGAAATATTTCAGTCCAGGCATGACAAAAGCAAGACAGAAGAGGTCACTGGAAGAGGCTAGAGATGGAGGAAGGTGGAGAGGTGAGCAGAGCTTTGGTGTTGGAGCAGCCAGGCAATCACCCTACCTGGAGGAAAGCTCTGGAGATCTATCAGCCGTAACATCCACCTGCTCCCAAATACACACTCAGGCATCCACTTCACATTCTTCATCAGGTAAAAGACGCACCTGGGATCAAAAATTCAA